GGGCTGCGATCTCCCCGTTCCCTTCTGGATTCACCTTGACAGGCTGCGATCTCCCCGTTCCCTTCTGGATTCATCTTGCAGGCTGCGATCTCCCCGTTCCCTTCTGGATTCAGCTAGCGGGCTAAGATCTCCCCGTTCCCTTCTGGATTCGCCTTGCGGGCTGCGATCTCCCCGCCCCGGTGGTCTGCAGCCGCTGGGAAGCGATGCCTGCGCACGGCTTTGCTCCGCTCAAAAGGTGCCAGGTTTTGTGCTCTTGCAATTCCTGGGGTTGGCCACGGGCAAGCGTCAAAGCCGCGTCCATCTGGGTTTAGAGCTCTGGCTCTGCTGCCGTGTTGCGAGGCACGACAGGTACCCAGGTGAGGTGGGCACGTTGCAGGCTCTGCCTTTACCGTGTGGGGACGGCGTATGGAAAACACCGAGATGCATCGTTCGTTCCCGCGACTAACGAGTGTGTTTGGGCAGGTGGAGGAGGAGCTGCAGGAGCAGGAGTTTCTCGACCGCTGCTTCCAGGAGATGCTGGAGGAAGAGGACCAGGACTGGTTCATTCCGTCGCGGGACCTGCCCCAGGGCATGGGGCAGCTGCAGCAGCAGCTGAACGGGCTCTCCGTCGGCGCCGGCCACCGTTCAGAGGACATCCTGGTAAGGACCTCGGCGAGTGCCCTGCCAGGTCTGCCGAGGAGCAGAGGACTCGTCCCGGAAAGCAGGGGGGATTTCCATGGGGGGGTTTCCTTACTGGCAGTGGGGCATCAGTGCAGGAGGCCGGGGATAACGCACCGGTGACGACGCATGCTGGAGGTTTCTGCAAGGCTATTTGTTTTAGCCATGTATCCTAAAGACAAAAGCATCCAGCTTGGCAGAACTTGCTCTCCAGAAGTCGTGGGATGGGGCTGCCACTTGCACGTGAGCTGGGCTCTGGTCCCGGAGGAAGCTGGCGCCTTTCTTGCCTTTTGGGCAGAGCTGTGGGGTGTCCCGGCAGGCTGAGGTGCGGGAGGAGCAGCCAGGTCTGCCCCAGGGGTGCTGAGTGCCCCGGGCCTGTGGAGAGATTTAGAGTGGTGAAGACCTGCTGGGTGGCTGGGCAGGGTGAAGGTGGTGCCTGTATTCATCCCCAAA